CACGTGGCGGGCGAAGTCTTTTGTTGACGTTGCCGCTACAGTAGGGTCTATGCTGAATCCATGTGTAAAACCGACGTCAACACATAGACATACGTGGGACAGTTGAATGGCAAGGTCGAGGAAAATATCCTGGTGCCCGTCGCAGCTATCCAATAACAAGAAGAATTCATCTGGGAGGATTATGCTTCGCAGCAATGCCCGAAGGCCACTGGCTCTATCAAGAAGAAGAATGACAACTTATACTCCAACCCCGCCAACCTCGCCGGGACCACTAATACACCGATCGGGCGTTCATCGAAGCGCATGCAAAGAGTGCTGTTTCCCCTAGGCCGGAAGAAAAATTCAAACGGGAAGTTCACAGGCGAAGATAAGAGCGTGAGGCGGTAGGCACGAAAGACGTCGCAGCAAGCCTGCTTGTGACAGTAAGAAGTATCGGTAATCACAATTGAGCATCTGATAGGTGCTAGCAGCAAAGAAGTATCGTTTCATTACCGCCCTTCAGCAATCCTAAGAAAAGGGCAAAGAGAGAAGTCTAGAAGTCTACCCACTAGCGCTAGCATGACCCCTCTGCCGTCGCGTCAAACATGCCAGGTTTGGGGACCACTTTGTCAAATCCCTCGTGTTCGCCGCTGCCCAGCGTCCACGTTATAATCAATGAGATGTCATATTTCCGCAGACGTGATATCCCAATATCAAGTCCGCTGTGACACGGGTCAATTTGGCCGCCTCATGCCTCATGTTCGACCACGATTACTTGTATTACTAGACGTCAATATCAGGGTCAGGCCGCCGCAATCCAATATTCTAGACATTCTAAGCTTTACTTTCCCTGAAGCCTCATAGGATTTGCCTTGGGTGTAAGTAAAATTTAGCCTTAGAATCCCAAGACGGTCTCCCACGTATGATCAGACTCTGAATTCAAAGAAAAGGCCAGCTGATCTCCACTTGTCACCTTTCCTATCTTAAAAAGTTTCACAAGCTCTAGTACGAAAACCCATATCCATTCCCTCTCAGACCGAGAAAACACAAATCTGTGATGGAAAACGAGAGGGGAGACCCTTGAGCAAGAGCCACAAACCAAGATCATCCTTCTGCCACCGACTTCATCCTATCCAACGGTAGCAACAACAAGACATCGGTCCTCTCCAACTCGCTCCTGTGACCCAGGCCTATACATCTAATGTAAGCTTAACCCTACTAACTATATGGCGACCTGTAGAGATGACAGGGCAAGTTGGCCACGGCAACAAGAAGACAAGTGACAGCAACAATCAAACATCCCACCCAAACCAATCCATGCAGCCAACGCGACCAAACACCCAGCGCCTCCCTCTTGACCGAGAGACTCCCTCAAGGGGTACATACATACATACATACAAACCCGACAAAACCTCAAAACAAGCCCACCCAACCACCATCTCAACCACCTTCCCAGAGAGAGCTTGCCAGCCCAGCCCAGCCCTAGCCCGCTCCAGCAACCAGCCCCCGGATCGTGCCAGGTGCAAACGCAGTGCGCACGAGCCGCAGATGTTTTCGAAGAGGAACAGCTCCAGCTTCCCTTTCCCCCCTGGATATACGCCCAGCAGCATCCAAGGCACGTAATCGGATCGTCGGGCTTGATGGCATGCGGGAGAAGAAAGCGAACCAAACAAACCCCCGTGTCGAGATCGAATCATTCGATTTGCTTATCCTCTTTCCTGACACTGACACGGATGCCATGTTGTACGCGACAGGTGATCACCTCCTCCTTCCTTGGCTACCGAGCAGCCAGCCGGAAGGCGTAAGCGTGGGAATCACTCAGGTAGGCGACTGTCAGATAGGGAGGGGTACACGCATCGATTGATACATCGGTTTGGCGTTCTGGTTCGTAATTAAGACTGATTGATGGTTGATCTATCCGGATTTAGAGATGGAAGTTCGTATGGAACGGGATGCTCGGCCAAGCTGCGCGACGAAAGAGGAAGTAGGAAAACTTGTCAAGGGGAAAAAGCCACGCTGAAAGGGTTACTGTACATAAAGTCGAAGTGAAGATTTCGAAGCAGTTGTTACAAACGTACTCGAAAGCGCGAGGATAAGAGAGGAAAGACCCCCCCCAAAAAATATATATGTTAGAAAAAAGTCCGAAGCGACGTTTTGCGAAACAAGAGAACGGAGAAAAATCGACTTCCGATGTCTCCTCGAAAGTGGTGCTCGTAAACCATCGAGAGAAGAAATTCCCCGCGCGTACCGAGCACGCCCCGACTCGCGTCAAATAGAAGAAGGTGCTTGCTTGCTTGCCTGCCCCTTTCTTTGCCTTTTTCAACTCACACTTTTCTTTTTCCGAACAACACTATTACCAACAACAACAACAACACCACCAACAACAACAATACCAACAATAACACTAACAATAATAACAACAACAACAACCTCCTCCTCCTCCTCCTCTCCATCTTTCCCCTCCCACTCACCTACACCAGCACTCCACCTCTCACTTTCCTTCCTCCTCCCTCCTTCCTCCTCCCCTCCTCCCTCCTTCCTCCTCCCTCCTTCCTCGACGAAGAACACCATAAGTGATAAACAGTAAACAACAACAACAACTTCTCCTCCTCCTCCTCCTACTCACCCACTCACCCACCCACCCACCCACTCACTCACTTACCCACCCACCCACTCACCCACCCACCCACTTGCCACGCCTCTCTTTCTCTTCGCATAGAGCGAGTTTCCTAGTAAGCAAGCTAACCGGACCGGGTCTGAGGCGCAGCGAACCAGAACCAGAACCAGAACCAGAATCGGAATCGGAACCGGGCCGGCCTTGCTTTCGCCTCCTGTGGTGGTGGGCGGTGTCGGTTGGGGGATGATGGTAGTCGCGTGCGGTACAGGTGCAGATGCAGATACAGATACAGATACAGATACAGATACAGATACAGATACAGATACAGATACAGATACAGATACAGATACAGATACAGATACAGATACAGATACAGATGCGGAGCTGATAACGACAGCAACAATAACAACAACCATATGAACAGCAACCAAGAAAAAA